AGGATGGAGCAATACTTTATTTTTAAACACTTTGACAAGGAGGTTTTCCATAAACCTTTCCAGTGGAGAAAAGAGAACATGAAAATCGGCCTCCAGATATCAGTAGCTGTGTCTGCTCAGGGCCGAGGCTCCCCCTTGCCCATGTGGTGAGGTGGAGGGGTGTACTTCCCTTCCTTCATCAGTTTTTCCCGTTGCCTCCAGATGGCATCCATACGTCTCATCTGTCAAAGGAAAACAGCAATTAAACTGAGAAAGGAGATATAGGCCAGAAAGTGTGAACTGGAAAAACGGAGATGAATTTTGGTTTCATTTTTAAATTACAGAAAACCTTTCATCTCACAGGGCCTCTGAAATGAAGCCCACATTTAAAAGATTAACGTGAAATCACTTCCCAAGCTTTTAAACAAATTTTTAGTATACATAACCTCTCTGAAAACAACTATTATTAATATATATATAGTAATACAGATATTTGCAAAACCTTTAAGAGGCATATTTATGTATACTAAGGTCTTTTAAAATATTAAAAGTTTAATCTCAGCACTTTGGGAGGCTGAGGCGGGCGGATCACCCGAGGTCAGGAGTTTGAGACCAGGCTGGCCAACATGGTGAAACCCTGACTCTACTAAAAATACAAAAATTAGCCAGGCATGGTGGTGCACATCTGTAATCCCAGCTACTCAGGAGGCTGAGGCAGGGGAATCCCTTGAACTTGGGAGGCAGAGATTGCAGTAAGCCAAGATTGCATCACTGCACTCAAGCCTGGGTGACAGAGCAAGACTTTGTCTCTAAATAAATAAATAAATAAATAAAGTTAAGACAACCTCAGCACTTACATATTCTAGACCTCTCTATGTGAAAGTGGTACTGCTGCTGCTAACTATGCAATGGATATGAATGAAGCAGAAATAGCCAATATGAGATTTCTTTTTCCCATATGGAAGTAAAGGCCTGATTCTTACTCAGCCACTAGTCACCGCTGAGTCCTGAATTCTGTCTCTTCTCCTCAGATAGAGCATTGGTTGCTTCCCAACAAACCAAAGTTATGTTACACAAGTGTGTCAAAGCCACAACAAAGGACTGGTCCCCGGATTCTGTGACACAGAAAATTTACTAATCCTGATCACATTATTCCTCTGCTCAATATTCCTCAACCCTCCAATGGCTTTCTATCTTACTGAGGCAAAAAGATGAATCCTTATAATGTCTTACAAGGCCTACTCCTGCGACTTCATCTCTTAGTATTCCCCTAGCTCCCTCCAGTCAGCTCAGGGACCTTTGCACTTGCTGTTTCCTCTGCATGGAACTGTCTTCCCTCATATCCATGTGGCTCACTTTCTTTACGTCTCTGCTCCATCTTCTTTTGCTAAACTCTTCTCTAACTACCCTATTTAAAGTAGCATCCATTAGCTCCGGCCCATAGCACTTTCTATCCTTTTCCTGTTTATTCTCACTGTACTTATTATCACCTTATTTTTTTTTTTTTTTTTT